GCTCAGCTAAGGAGACCATTTTGGGTCTGGTTAGGGAAATGAGACTAAACTTCCAAATGGAGAATCATAATTCATAACTGCTGCATTTTCTGTATTTCTACACACAGCATAAGTGAATAAACTGTTAGCATATGCCAATCCTTACCACAAAAAAAAAATCCTGTTTTAAAGTATAGGAAAGTAACTGCAATGAAGATCTACATCTGAAAGTCCTGCATAACTGTGAATTGCTGCTATCAATTCAGAAAATTTTGAGTACTAGCTGTTGGCAAACATTGTTTCATATCTTTGAAGTAATTCAAGATTTTTTAGGCTAATTTCTGGGGTTTTTTTCCTTTAACATTGAGAACATTAAATTAATATCTTACTGTTTGGCATAAGATAACTTTAATTCAAACCAAGTGGCACTATGTACAACTGTAAAACTAAAGATGCACATAAAATTTCATCTGTAACTTTACTACTCACTTCTGCCTGCTAACTATTTTGATCGTGGCAGTGCTCTTATGATGAGGACCAGACAAATGTCATGATACCATGGCTGTAAACTTTGAAAACAGGCCACTATTTTGGAGGTTTTAGAACTGAAACATTAGTGCTGTCACCCACTGTAAAGTATGCAGGTTTCATTCAGATAAGTGATGATTAAACTGAGAAATAAATACCAATGTACCACATTCACAATTCCACACTCCTACACAAATACCAACCCTACAGACCCTGAACTATCCAACACTGACACTGACTAGATTTAAATGCTACGTTGCATACAATCACAGGAGGGCAGTCATTTTGTCTATAAAAGGGATTAATACCAACCATCATTCCTCACATTGTGCCCACTCAATGAAGAGAAGATTCAATTCAGTGTTTTTTAGATCCAAAAGCATAATATGAAAGATTGGTTGGTCTGACTCTTCCAGCTGCACAAAAATCAGCTAATGCCAAATCCATCTTAGCCCAGAACATTATTATAAACAGATCATTTATTTGATTTTCCATAACAGAGACATTCAAGGAACTGCCTGAGCCGGAAACTAGCAGAGAGAAAGGACTTGATACCTATAAAAGAAGTAACTTGAACAAATGTGGCCATTTAGGTGCACTGAGATTTCATTTCCTATTCCCATCCTAACCCTAGCACTGATTTAACAAGGAAGTAAGATGGAGATTCACTCCTGGTGGAAATATCCAGTAGTGAACGTATTTGCAGAAAACAAGCTAGAAATACTAAATACTAAAACATGGCTGGCTTCCCCAAAAAATTTTTATTGGGCACCCATTATACTGATGTTCAGGTTGTGCTACCATGAAGAGTTAGATCAAACATTAAACCGCAATATTGGTTTATTCTGTCTTCTCCCAAAGATGACTTTGATCTAACTAAAGTTACTGTGTTTAGCTTATTCTGCCCACAGAATCTATGAGAACAAGAAAAAATTAAAAGCATTGTCCTGCTCATAAGGAAAGTTTAAGTGCTGCAAACACAGAACTGCAGGATCTAAAATAATCTGCAAAACCCTTCTTCCCAAAGCTTTATTTGAAACTGCATGGATAAAAATGTCTAGGAAAGAGAAACAGCTGTGTCAACTCAGGAGTACAGATAGTCCAAACAAAAAAAATCTTTTTTTTTCCTGTGAGGATGAAGGATTTTCTAGAATACATTTATATGAATATGGCATAGTTTACCAGTGTTTATATACCCTGAGCTCAAATTTTATCTGTGGACAAGGCTGCAACACCTAACAAATCCAAATAGGAATAAAAGATTCCTATCAAATCTCAGCAGCATGATAACTTGCAGATGAATCATCCGAGTTTTACTTTCAAACAAGGAAGGCTTCTTAACTCTAAAGTACTACTCCAATTCATATTAAATATTTCTTTTCAGAGTAACTCTTTCCTCCCATTTATTATTTATGTTATTCTCAAGGTTTCCTCTGCTGCATCATTTGTTTTCTGTATACAACCAGACCCGT